AGGTGGAGGCAGGGGAGTGGTGAGCCCATAATGATGGAGACAAGGGAATAGGAAGGGCTGTAATATTGATGGAGAGGAGGGTACAGTTTTCTAATCATGTTTGATCAATCAAATTGTAGCTTAGAGGAATTATTGTGAGGTGAATGGTGAGTAAACATGGTAGTGGATAAAGAATAAAGGAAATAAAGGAATAAAGAAAAATAAAAAGAGCAAAGAAAAAATAGAGATATGTATATATAAAATAGGTGTATTTGTTTATATATGTATACATATTACATATGTAAATACAACAAAGAAGCATATGGACTTTGGACCTCTACTTCAATCTTACCTAAGTACAAGAACAGTTTGTTCTAATAATGTGCAATGTATGATACTCACCTTCCTGAAACAATAACTGAAGACAAAATGGATGCATAAACAAATGTGGTGAAGAAAGCTGTTTGTGCCTGGCTGTTTAAAAAAAGATACAGCATCTGAGGTCTTAGAGGTTTGAAGTTAAACAAGTGGCCATCTAGCAGGGAAGCAACAAAGTCCACATGGAAGAAGCACACCAACCTGTGTGAACATGATGTGTTGAGGGAATAGGTATCAGAACTTCAAAAGCAAGCAACCAAATTGATGTGAAGGGGTGTGGACATAGTGGAGACTCAAAGCCAAGCTGTAAGATAATGAGTCAGTCGTTCCCAGAAGGACTACATGGAAGGGTTGATAAATCCAGGGTGTGGTATAGCATTAATGAACCACATAACTATCCTCTAGTTCTTTAATATTTTCTCTCTTTGCTATTTATGTTTTTTAACCTCATTAATCTTGTTATGTTCTTGTGTGTGTTCATTTGTATATTTAAGATCATTTGATACATGAAATCCAAGATAGATAAGCCTTCAGGAACAGTGACAGGAGTAATGGCTCCCTGAGCGTATGGGAAGGGGGAGGGGGAAGGGTGTGCAGGGGGGAAAGTGGGGCTGATAGCAATGATAACTTGATAACTGTATAACCACACTTGAGGGGAGCAAATATCTAAATTGTAGGAGAATGGATATATTGGATGGTGTAAGAAATGGCAAAAAAATAAATAACAACAATAATAAGTGTTCCTGGGGGGTAGGGTGGGGGAGGAAAGGGATAACAAGGAAGCTGATATTAAGGAATTAAAGAACAAAGAAAGAAACTGATCAAAACTGATTGTGGTAGCAATGATACAATAATCCTGGATGTAATTGATCTATGGAATGTTATGATATCTGTAAGAGCTCCCAATAAAATAATTAAGTAAAAAAATGACATGGAATGCATAAAATTCAATATCTTAAGAAATAGTGAATTGAGACAGACTGGCACTGGTCATTTTGAATCAGACAACCATATGGTTTGCTATGCTAAGAATTAAAATTTGATATAAAGTATGATGTTACATTCATCATAAAAGTGAAACAAAATACTTCAAAATCTATCTTGAAGCACAGTGCTGTCTGTGATAGCATAATATCCGTATGCCAACGTGTTAGTTTGGGTACTTTAGAGAAAAAAATCCACAGAAACTCATGTATAAGAGAGTTTTATATAAAGGGTAAGTGCACATCAAGAAAACATCCCAACTCAGTGCTGCCCAAGCCCACAAGTCCAACATTAGCCCATATGTCCAACACCAATCCACAAAGTCCTCCTCCATCTCACAAAGCAGATGCAATGATGCCGACAGCAGGAGGAAAGCCAAGTCAGTGAATGTGTAAGCATCTCAGCGCTGGCAGGGTTCTCCACATGGCTCCTCCAGCACCCCAGGGCTGCATCGGGGTAGGTCCATGTGGCTTCTCCTCAGGGATGTCTTGCAGGAAGTGAGCCTTGCCAGCTGAAGCAGGGAACTGGCAGCTGCACCCCGGCCCAACAATCAGAAAGCAAGAGACCCAGGAACTAGAAAGGCGAGCTCACCAAGCCATTTATCTCTCCCCGCTTCAATTAACCCCACATGTTTTTCTTGGCCAGGTTGGCACAATAAACTTTAACTAACTCAACTAACAAGGAAGATTCATTCATACTATGATTCAAATTTATGCACGAACCACAAAACACAATGAGTTAAGAAGTTGAAGAACTCTACCAACTTTTGCAGGCTGAAATTGACCAGATATACAATCAAGATGCATTGATTATTACTGGTTATTAGCGTGAGAAAGTTAAATATCGAGAGGAAAGATCAGTAGTTGGAAAATATGCCTTGGCGATAGAAACTGGAGATTGCATGATAGAATTTTTCAACGCCAATAACTTATTAATTTTAACAAATATTTTTCATCACCATAAATAGTGCATATATATGTGGACCTTGCCAGATAGAATACACACGGGCCGGGGGAATCTACCAGAACCTGCCTCATGCGTAGGATACAATCTTGCCTGCTGAAAAGCAAGCATACTTGAATCACTTGCTGATGAAGACCAAAGACATCAGTATGCACTACAACTCAATGCAAACAAAACCCAAATCCCCACAAATGTTCCAATAACAATATCATGATGAAAGGAAAAAAGACTGAAATGATTAAAGACTTCATTTTACCACTATCCGTATCAATACTAATAGAAGCAAGAGATCAAAGGATGGACAAATCTCCTTCACAAGCCTTCTTTAGATGTCACTTTGAGAACTAATGTGTGTCTGATCCAAAATATCATATTTTTACCCACCTCATGTGATTATGAAAGCTGAACAGTGAGTAAGGAATAATGAAAGAATATTGTTTCATTGAATTATGTTGTTGGAGAGGAATACGGACTGAAGACAACAAACAAATCAGTCTTGAAAGAAATACAGTCACAGTGCTCCTTACAAGCAAGGATTGAAAGACTTCATCTCACATCCTGTGAACATGTTCTCATGAGGAACAGCTCTCTGGCAAAGGACGTCATGTTTGGTAAGACAGAGGGCCAGTGAAAAAGAGGAAGACCTTCAACAAGATGGATCGACCAGAGGCTGCAACAATGCGCTCAAACATGACAGCAATGTAAGGACAGTGCAGAGGCAGGTGGTGGTCTGTCCTGGTTTACGTATTAGGGTCACTATGGTTCAGAACCACCTCCAAGGGTCCTCGAAAACACAGAAAATAAATGATAAATTTAGCGGATTTCCATGTTACTTGCATGTTGAAGTATGAGGGTGATGTGATTTTTAGGCTATTAACAAATTTAACCATATTTGGTGACTTTTCTCTCCAAATCCATTTTTGGTACCCTGGAATTCTGAGTTGAAGATTGACTCTGAAGGAGCTTCGTGACTGGGACTGAAAGAGGTCATCTTCAACGACGCACCTGGATGCTTACGTTCTTAGGATATATATTTTTTAATAACACAAATCTTAGGATTCTATTTTTGATACTTGCTTTCTTATTCCATATTGTAGGTCTAGTTTACCATGTGTGTCAGGCAGACCTTATAACAAAGGGATCCTATTTAAAGAAACATGCTGAAGGTAGTACATACTTTGTACTTAACTGGAATGTTGATTAGATCAGTAAATGGATGAATAAATGAAATATGTACAATCATGCAGAGTTGAAGCTCAGTAGAATTAGAACTAACTAACTTTCAAGTTATGAAATATGTTTAATCGAGGAACTTTTTGGATATTTATGTAGTACATGATGGAGAAGGTGATCCTGCTTGGAAAAGTAGAGGGGTAGCAAAGGAGGGTAATGCCCTCATGGAGTTGAATTGACACAGAAGTTGCAACAATGGGCACAAGCACAGGAAAAATTGTGAGGAAGGTGAAGGATTGGGCAATTTTTCCTTCTGTTGTGTCTAAGGTTGCTATGGTTAGGAACCCACCTAACAATAACAACAACACGTGACATAAAGAGATCTAGAGTTGAAGTGTGAGTCTCTGAGTTACGATGCTAACTGCTCAGCTAACTCGAAGTTGTGTATGTTGACTAAGACACTTTGTAGACTAGATTATAATTTTAGACACCATATAAATCCAACTCATTTCATTGAGTGAATTCCAGCTAGTAGTAACCCCAGGACAGGGTAGAGCTGTGCCTGGGGGTCTCTGATTCAGTAACTTTTTAAAGAAACAGAAAGCCTCATCTTTCTCCCAGATACTAATTATATTTAAGTTTTCAAACCTGTAGAAATGATAAAACATATATTCAATTTTTAAGCCTTGCACATTTGCTATAAAATGAAAAGAAATATTGCTACTATTTTAAAGATTTAATATTTTAAATTATATAAGCCACATTTAAAAACAAATAAACAGAAAACACCGATTTAAAGGGAATTCACAAGGACTTCCCTCCCTACTTAACAAAGGAATGAATGTGCCTGGCTCATGATAGACATGTATTCAATGATAGTTAGTACCATTGCATAACATATTTTTGACTCTATCCTTCCGAGCTTGAAAAGAGACTCCTTTTCCTTAGTCACCATTCCAACGGAAGGGTTCTCCTGAAGTATGTCTGTATGCTAACGCTTTCTTCCCACTCATCTCAAAGGGAAACATTTGGGTTTTTTTAGAATATTCTAAAACATCAAGACGATCTTTTTGAACTAAAAGTTCACTGACATCTTATCCAGGCTCTTTTCTCTTCACTCTTTCATTTCCATTCTACCTTCCAAATTTCCCTTTGCCTTTTTGGGGTCTGTGTGTGTGTGTGTGTGTGTGTGTGTGTGCATGCGTGTGCCTTGGTATGACACGTTTATACTGATAGAATGAAGGATTGATTCAAAAGATGATTTAACAGCAAGTAGACCACAAAGAATTGACCACTTATTTTAATTTTCAGTTTCTTTGTTCTGATCTCTCAATAGAAAGAGATTCTCTCCACACACACAGTAATAGAGAAGAAGACCAGATGTCACAGCAGACACATACAAGTACCACCCAATTCTACATGGAGGTCCTATTTCGAGCTCAAGTGGTCATAGCACTGAGCGACTTCTCTAAGTTCCCCAAGAAGCCAGCACACATAACACAAGAAGTCAATTGTCTACTTACAAGGATATAACTCAATGAATTTGTCCACGTTTGCTCCCTTGGAGGCATTGAAATGCTGACTGCTCTGATCCTCTTCATAACGAACAAATAATCCAAATAAAACAATCATGGCGATCTCCAGGCCCAGGGCCACGAGAGGGAATTTGAACCTCATGCTTTCCGAGGCAGAGGCACACTGAGGGCTTCGCAGGCTGTGCAAGGCTGATAAGAACAGAGCAGGGACTGCTCGGTTTGAGAACTGGACTGCATGTTGAAGGCACGCCGTTGCCACCGCAAGGGGACAAGTGGGCGAGTCACTACTTTTTAAAATGTTCCACACATCCTGCACTTTACGATTTGTAATCTAATGGTTGTTCCAAATGTCGATTAGATGGAGTTGCAGGGTAGAGAGAAAGAAGGCAGGTGATGAAATTGACCTATTGTACAAAAACATCTAGACTCTTAAGATTATTTTGTAAATATTTCTGAAGTGCTTATGTGTACGAGGCACTACACTAGGATCTGTACTACGACAGGAACCACAAAGAGATAAAATAGAGAACAGGTTTTTTTTAGGAATTTTAATCAAGCTATGAATACCAAAATATTAGCAAATGGTTGAATGAAAAAGTAGTGTAAGAGGTGGTGGGGTGATGACATAAAGGGGTCCATGTAGAAAAAGAATGTCTGGAAACTGATTGTGGTAGCAAATGTACAATTCTGCTGGACGTGATTGAACTGTGGAATGATTTGATATATGTATTAATCCCTATTAATTAGAAAAAAGTAGTATAAGAATAGTTATAAAAATATTAGGGAACTCAAATAGGCAACAGTCAATTTCTGCCTTGTGATAAGAACACTAGGAAAGATAGTAATAGTAGATACAAACGTTTAAAGTTAAATGCCATGAGGTATTTCACAGTTTCGTCATATTCTTTAGTAAAGCATTGTTTGTATGAACCAAAATTTATTTATCCATTTTTTCACTCGTGGGCATTTTAATTGTTTCCTTCCTCTTGCTATTGAATGAAATAGACCGTGATGGTCACCAGGGGTGTAAGGAATAGGAAGGAAAGGGGAAGTAAGAGGGTAGAGGATAGACGAGGGTCAACTTAGTGAAAAGGGAGCTAATATCTAACCAAAGGGAACTGGGAACACGAAAGAGGGATGCAGAACAAGCTAAAGGGAGGTTTGATAAATTCTTAATGTTGTAGAATACAAAGTGATGATCTGGGGGAAAAACAAAACAAAACAACAATAAAACGACACAGAATCTACCAGTTCAACAGAGAGGCAGTAATGGACTTGGACAAGCAGGGCATGTTGGAGAAATAATGATTCGTTAGGGATAGCTAGAATCCAGAGGAGTTGGGAGGGAAGGGAAACAGTGAAAGGAGGTAAAATGAGCTGGCCGTGGTTTTACATGGTCTTTCATTGAATATTAAGCACCCCTATAACTCCCCAACAAAAGTTGCTGTTGAAGAGATTCCAACTCATGGAAACCCATGTGTGTCAGAGTAGAACTGATCCATAGAGGTTTTAAAGACTGTGTTTTGTTTGTTTGTTTGTTTGTTTTTGCAGAAGTAGATCTCTTGGCCTTTTTTTTGAGACACCTCTGGATAGGCTTAAATCTCCACACTTTCCGTTAGCAGGCACGTTAGTTAGCTGTTTGAAGCACATAGAGACTTTAGAACCCTGACCAAAATGTGTTGTTGCCATCTGCTCTTTTGTTAGGCCAGTTGGTGTTGGCTTATCACTCAGTCCTAAGAACAACATGGCGAATCATGCTCCAGTCATGAAGTCTGGGAAATGCGTACCTCTGACAATGTGGCTTTGAAAATTCTTTTTAAAAAATGATAAAGTGTCAGAAAGAGGACTTTTAAAGCCTCCATTTTGACAGGTGTCAAATCACAAAGAGAATGAGGACTGCCATGTACTGCAGTGCGAGCTGTTTACTTGTTGTATTTTCCACCCCTGAAACTTTCTTCGAATGTTTTCACTTGCTTTCAGAAGATGAGGTTACGTTTAAAAGATGGGTGACTGGGAAAGCCTTACATCAACCTAGAGTGATCCTTAACTTGCTGTGAGACTTTGGGAAAATGAGAGGGAATTTCTTTGTCTTCATTTTTTAATGATATGTGAATTGGGGTTAACACTCAATAGAAACCTAGGGTTGAGTGCTTATTTTTATTAGCAATGAGCATCATTTCTTTCAAATGGTCCATCTGTGTGAATGTAGAGTCAGGCTGGCAGGAAGATAAAAGCATGTACATGTTTTCAGCATTTCCTATATTGTGGACATTTTGTTAGGTTCCTACTCAGCCCATCTGGTTAGTCTTGCCATAGTTTGATATATTGTAAAATATAAGTTGCTCCATTAATTTAAAATACTTACATCATTATTTAAGCATCCAACTGCCATGTTGTTGTTCTGTGCCGTCGAGTAGACTCTGATATAGATGGATCCTACATGACAGAGTGGAACTGCCCCATAAAGCTTTGACAGTTGTAATCTTTATGAGAGAGATTTCCATTTCTTCTCTCCTGTAGGTTAGAACCACTGACCTTACGTTGTGACAGTGGGCTCTTTCTCAAATACTAAAATTGGTGTGATATCCAGTGAGACTCTTTTAGAATCAAGTCCATGGGCTCTTTGGTGCTTCTCTAACATTTCATTTCCCCAAAGCCACTCGGGGCCATTTAATTTAAGAGGATGGTCACTCCTACTTCTTTTTCTAAACAGGGAGAAAACTAGAATGTACATACAGTATCTGGTGAAGAAAGGGTCTTCTCTTTGCTGCAACGATAATGTTCACCTTCTTAGGGCTGTAGTTGCATGGCCCTGACCCCACCCAGGGCTTGCTTCTTAGCTTTTGCTCAACCATCTTCGTCATTTTTCTTTAAATCTCTAAGATCTATAGGCTCAACATACCCAAAGCAGCCATTCTTGAAGGTTAGGGCTTAATTGTTGTTAAGCATCTTTTTGCGCAATTCATTGGCACCTCTGAATCCCTTCTCAAGATATTTTCTAGGGGGTGGAGGAGAGTTGTTACATGAACAACTAAATAGAGTACATAGAATTATTAAGAAAATCAGTATATTGGAAGGCTTTGATAGATGTTTGATATAATGCTTTCTATTATATACAAAGGTAAGTCAAAAAGTTTGTACTTTAAACTACAGATCAAGGGGGAAAATACATCCTTTTACTACTAAAATCAAAAGCCATGGAGACTATGTTCTCTTGCGGATCTATCTGCTCACATACATACACAAACATACACAACTAAATAATTTTTGTCTTTACTCTGGGAAGCGTGGGGACCAATAACATAAATTTACTCCACATGTATATAAAATGGTCAAGTCTTTTGAACAATGACCTCCACAAATGATCTAAATCTGATCAACTCTGTGCATAAGAATTTTGGCCTGACCCAGAGTGGAAAGTAATTTTTAAGTGTTGTTGAATTGCTCTGAGCCAGGTTCTAATAAAGTTTCTGTCAAGCCGACTCGCTTAAATTTAAGTTGAACTTAAATTTCTTATTCTTAATAACCATTGATGACTTAACTTTTGCTCTCTTAAGTAGTTTTTATAAGGACTAGGGGCAAAGGGTCCTTTATAAATCAGAAAGAGACTGGAAAGCTAAGCTACCTTGGTGGCGCAGGGATTAGAGTTGGGGTACTAACCACAAGGTCAGCAGACTCCGCTTATGTGCTTTTTGAAAGTGGTCAATGCACGGGCACTCCCTCTCTTTTTAATGAATGGAAAACGTTGAAAACTCTACCTAAATTCAATAAATAAAAAAATAAAGGCATCCTATTATTTATTTGTTCATTTAATTATTGGGCTGTGCTCGGAAAGGTCAGTTGTTTGAAACCACTGGCTGCTTGGTGGGAGAAATATGGACCTCTGTACATCCGTGTAGAGTTCCAGTCTGCAAAACTCACTGGGCTTTTCTCCCCTGTCCTACAGGGTTGCGGTGAGTCAGCATCGACTCCACGGCACAGAGCTTGGTTTTTGGATTTCTGGAGTGAAGATTTACAGAACACATCACTTTTCTATTTAAGAATCCATTCGTGTTTTATTTGCTGCTATTGATTGAAATCCTCATAAGGGAGCATCACTTGTCCCATTTCTTCACTGTTTCTTGTTTCTAACATTCCTTCTCTCCTAACTTTTCACTTGTGTAAATGTTGCCCTTTTGATCTCAAATGGTTGATTATTTTAGGGTGCATTCACTTTCCCGCTGTACCCCTTGTGTTACTATGGTTTCGCTGAATATTGAGCCATAGGTGAGTTCCTTTCCATATGTGAAGGGTGAATAAGGGTCATCGTCTTTGATTCCACCAGTCTCTCTGTCTAACCAGCACATTTCTTCTTTTTGATGATTGTGAATTTCTTTCCAAGTCTTCTCGCACAATATCCAGGATCTTCTAATATAATTCTTTCAAAGCAGTTGGTGGTGGTAGCTGGGAACCCTCTAGTTCTTCTGGTCGCAGGGCTGTGGAGACTGATGTTGACACGGCCCATCAGACCCTTGGACCGACTGTTTTCATGCATCTTCAGTTTTTTCACTCTTCTTTCCTCTGGGTAAGGAGAGACCAAGATGTGTCCTCCTGATCTCTTCTGATCCTAGTCACAAATCACGCAAGTAGGATGTAGAAGCTTGTCTTTGTAGACTATGCTATGCTGATTAGCCTGGATGTCTCCTGAGACACTGGTTCTGAGGCTCCAGGCCCAGCAACTCCATCCCTCAAGATCTTTGCCCCTGTATACCTCACCATGCTCATGAATATATTTACAGCAAAGGCAAATACTCATACACAAATATCCTTTGTCAGCCCTATAGATTTTAGTTAGCGTGCTTCCACCATCCTTCATGTCTGTTCATGCATCTACTTGTGGATCATTGCCCTTGCAGGATTGGGTATACCACGGTGTTTACTTCTCTTGCCTTTAACTGTTGCACTACTCCCTGCATGCATACTTTGTTTGACTGCCCTCCATTTGTATTGTGCTTTCCTCCTCATCCATGTTCATTTATGCTTACCCTCTAGTCAGTAATTTATGCTCTCTTTCTTTCCCACCACTGGTATCCATCCAAGGTTGCTTCTTTTTTGTGAAAAAAAATTTTTTTAAATAATTTTACTGGGGTCTCTTGCAGCTCA